ACATCAGTTAATGTTGTTGTGGTCATTAGTATTGCTATTCTTTCTGGGGCAAAATATACAATACTCTCCTTCATTCTTTTTTTTTTTTTTTTTTTGAGACTTGCTCTGCCGCCCTGGCTAGAGTGCCATGGCATCATCATAGCTCACAGCAACCTCAACCTCCTGGGCTCAAGAGATACCTTTGGCCTCAGTTTTTCTCTTTTTAGGAGAGATGGGGTCTGGCTCTTGCTCAGGCCATTCTTGAACTCATGATTATGATCAAGTGATTCCTGTTGAAGATTACCCAGCTATCATGCCTCACATTTCTCTTAAAGCGTCAATTCACTGCTTCACATGTAAGAAGACAAATCTTTTTTAATCAATATAAAATGCCTATAACTTGATATTACTTTTTCTGTTCCAGACACATCAAGTAGTTAGCAATTGGGTACCGTATCAAATCTTCCTTGATTTAAATGATACCATGTATAGTCACTATACACATTTACAATCTATCTATGTGTTCACAAATACACACTTTACACATGTACATATATCTGTAATTTGCCTCCATGTAAGATTAATATAAACACACACATTTTCACCCACCCACATACATATACTTTATTATCTTGAAAAATTGAAAAGTGGTGATTTCAAACAGCATTTTCTCTTCTTATTTTTGAGACAGAGTCTCAAGCTGTTGCCCTGGGTAGAGTGCTGTGGCGTCAGAGCCCACAGGAACCTCCAACTTTTGGGCTTAAATGACTCTCTTGCCTCAGCCTCCCAAGTAGCTGGGACTACAGGTGCCTGCCACAATGCCTGGCTATTTTTTCTGTTGCAGTTGTCATTGTTATTTTAGCAGGCCCGGGCTGGGTTCGAAACTGCCAGCCCCAGTGTATGTGGCTGGCACCCTACCCAATGAGCAATTGGCACTGCTGTAAATGGCATTTTCCATTCTATTATTTTTAAACTTAGAAAAAGGTATTTTTCCTAAATAAATGTTATCTTTAAAAATTAGGCCTGTATGTCTTTTAAAATTCCTAAGGTTAATTTCAAGTTGAAACTTGACTTGTATTTCCCAATTGTAAACAATCCTCTCGTGTCTCTTGATAGGTATAACCACGTTTGACCCAGGAGCGCTAGAAACAGGGGAAGGGGATCTTAGAGGATCCATTTTCCCTAGACTGTGATAAAAGAAAGAATGATTTCTATTCAGTTCTTAAGTACGCAAATCAAGAAAAAGATTAAGACTTTTTATTCATATTATTTTGTAAATTATTATTTCTGAGTATGGACTTAAACTAAACTCCAGCTCGAGTCTATCTTTATAGTTCAAAACTTCCCAGAATAAATCTTTTCAAATATTATCTTTGCTGGGTGTTAAGAGTTACAATGACAACCCCTCTGGATGACATACAGCTTTAACTTTAACCTCAAAAATTCCATTACTCCCATGGTGATGAGGGGAGAGGGGAGAATTACAAACTGCTATCTACGAATTCTTTTAAATAGTTTATTTCAATTATAAAGCTTACAATTTTTAAGAAGGCAGGGGAGGAAGAAGAAAGAGTGAATTACGGAAGATCACAGACACTAAAAGGCCTGAGCAAGCTCTGTTAAAGGGTTAGCAAGGGTTTCACAGCCTTCAAACTTTATGAGGCCTGGAAGAGACGGTTGTTGAATTGCCAAGTGATAGGACTGTTTTTTGTTTTTATAGTGGTCTACTCTGTTTTGATTCATATGGAAAAGTAAAGGCTTCAGCAACACTTAGAGATGTCTGGAGCTCTAGTGGAGTCACCCTCGGTGTCTATAGGGGATGGTTTCCAAGATCCCGGAGGACACTGAAACCCACAAAGGTCAAGTCCTTTACATAAAATGGGGAAGTATTCACAAATAACCTAGGCATATCCTCCTGTGTACTTAAAGCATCTCTAGATTACCTATATTACCTGGTACAATATAAATAGTTGTTCCACTATACTATTTTAAAATATGTATTTTTTTTGTATTATATGTATTATTTGTATTGTTATTTCCTATCTCTAAATTTTTTTGAGTATTTTAATTGATGGGTTGAATTCACAAACGTGGACCCTGGGGCTGCAGAAGGCCCCTCTGGGCATCAGGCTTCATGCTCACTCATCTGCCAGGGACTGAGGGAGAACTGTCATCAGAGAGCAACCCTGGAACCAAGAGAAGTCACGCGGAGGGGGTGGGGACAGAGCCGTGCATCCCAGCCTGCTCCCAACCATGGAGTGGTAACACCAGTAACAAGACACCATCTATCAAGTGCAGCAGCAGAGAAGGCCCTTGAGCTCTAGGAGAGAGCCTCCACCATTCCATCTTCCCATTCTCATAGATAAAAAGTACAGAGTTATTTATTGGTTAACATTTTGGGAGAAGTCATGTTTGATGACTGATTCCATGAATGGTTTTTCTGCAGAAAATTTCAAGTTTTAAAGAAAGGCACTAGACAAAGTCTTCTAATCTACTTTCAACTTAATAAAAAATGTGTTATACTATATTATACTATGTGGAAAAGGAATAAAGATATAGTTTCCTACCTCATGAACTTATAGTTTGGACCAATGGATAGAATAGTCGTGCCATATTAAATTATTATTTAAAAAGAAAGGAAAACAGGAAATTAAATGGTAAGTACCTGGAGTTCTAAACAAACAATGGCTTTAAAGGAATAGCTTAATTTATTCATAAACACCTCTCTGACCAGTCAGGAACCCTATTTTATATCTGAGGACCAGGTCCCAGTGGCTAAGCAGTGTTAGATCTGGACTCTAAAGCTGTGAAGTAGGGCCAGCTTCCTTGGCTGCAACCCCATGTGCTGTTCCTAAGTACCAAGTCATTCTGCATTTAGATTCATAGGTATATTATCTATGGAAGTGAAATTAGCATCTTCATTATCTTACGTTTAAGCTAATGCTAAAATTATCTGGCACGTCCAACCTCCTTGGCAACTGAGTGGGAAAGGAACCAATCTTATGGCATATTTAAGTGGTGAATGGACCAGTGTGGGATTAAATTTTGCCTGATACATGAAATGATGATATTGTAAAAATGCATACAGGTCAGGAAAAATTCAATACTGAGTAGAATGAGCACAGTAAGAGGTGAGTGGGGGCAGGCGTCACAGAGTAGGGGACTGAAGGACGGTCCTTGCCATTGTGGTTAAAATGTAAAGATGGTCCTTTCCTCATACTCCAGTCTTAGAGAGTCATCTGAAGTCTGTACTCGAGAAGCAAAAAGCCTGGAATGTGGTAGAAATAGTGATGCTTCTTAGTACCAAATTTTCATTTCTTGTGTGACAGGGGTAGATCCAACCCCAAAGCAGCACCCCTGTGCTGTCTGTGCTGCTGCACTGCCCCACCCCCCACCCGCCACCTCTGAGCTGTGGCCTGGCCACTGCCTTGCCGGTCATGACCTGGACTTCTGGAGGAACACAGAAATAATAGGCAGTTTGTATCAATCTTGCACACAATGTAACTAAATTGTTAGATTTCAAGTAAACTTAAAAGCAAACTGCAAATGATAAAAAAACCCAAGATTTTAAAATGATGGCAAGGCACAGGTCTTAAGGAGGTATTTTTTAAAGATGGGGACAGATGACAGACACTCAGGAGTAGCGTTTCTGATCACCTGCCTAACGGCTGCCTTCTCCCACTGTTCCTTTCTAGCTTGAGAACTACATCCAGGATAACATGAAGAAGGAGATGGTGGAGATGCAGCAGAACGTCGTCCAGAACCAGACAGCCACAATGATAGAAATAGGGACCAGCCTGCTGAACCAGACGGCGGAGCAGACCCGGAAACTGACTGACGTGGAGGCCCAAGTGAGTAACCAGACAGAAAATGCTACCTGCACATGAGTCCCAGAAGCTGAAAGCCTGGCACCCAGGCATGCCATGAGGTTACTTGATGATACAATGGAAAACAAATGAAGAAAAAGCACGCTGCAGGAGAGAAGGGATGAATTTATAAGAAGTCATGGCTAGCTATGAATTCACAATCAGTAAATATGTTTTTATTTTTAACTGAGGTTAAATTACAGTTATCTTACTAAGGACATCCACGTAATTTTCACGCTACGCATACCTGACTACTCAAGATGAATGCTGTTCAGCCTCACTGGTATTTCTGGACTCCACATATCACTTTTCATTTCTAAGTCCTAAACTCTTTGGGCATTTGAGAAATGAAAAGCACTGAGGCAGAGAGCTAAAAGATTAGTCCTTCAATCTAGGGGCTGAGCTAAAATAAAAGCTAAATCTCAAGGAACTGTTAAAATGATCCGTGGAATGAGTTTATAGAGCAGCGGGAGGCAGCAAGCTGCAACACAGCTGGCGTGACCAGGAGCCAGAGCCCAGGCTTCCCCTGCCTCTAGTTCTGCTGTTAACTGGATGGATAAACTGCAGCAAGGCACTTACCTTTCCTGATTCTTAGTGTTTGTTCTTCTTTTTTGTTTTTGTTTTTGAGACAGAGTCTCACTATGTCCCCCTTGGTAGAGTGCTGTGATGTCACAGCTCATAGCAATCTCAAACTCTTGGGCTCTAGTGATTCTCTTGCCTCAGCCTCCAAGTAGCTGGGACTACAGGTGCCCACCATAGCACCAGGCTGGGACCCACCAGCCTCGGTGCACATGGCTGGCGCTGTAACCACTGTGCTATGGGCGCCAAGCCAGCCTCAGTGGTTTGAACTATAAAATAAGGGGTGGAGCCAGACTGATGGTTAAGTTCTCTTTCAGCTTTAAGATTCTATCAGAACAGCTGAGGAAAAATGTAAGTGTGTACAGATTTTACACAAAGGATCATAAAGTATAAAAATTTAATCCAAGGAGGTAAAAGCTAGAAATACAAATTTAAAAGGAAATACATCAATATATCCATAGTCTGTTATCAAGATAAATTAGTAAGATTTAGTTACATGCTCCATACTTTTCGATAATAAAACTAGTGGTCAGTAGAACTCATCCAAAAAATGTCCCATAGGTATAACCTTTCTTGCTTTTAAATAATAGTAAAGGAAAAGTGTTAAGACACAAAGCAATGATGCAACCTTTCGCCATATCCTATGTAACTCAGCGACTTAACAGCATTTACTATGTGTTTTTATTGGGTTATGTGATTTTTTAAAAAATACATATTCCAGAATTAGACATCATTTGATCCAGGATAATAATAGGAAAATATATGGAAAAAGGAATCTATACAAAGTACAACTATACACAATGAAAAGGCCGCACCTAAGGAAGGCCAGAAAAAGGACTGAATCCTGCACCACTGTGCCTGAAGGCTTTCGCTGAGCAGTTCCTAACTGTGCGAAAGGCTTTAACTCAAATATGGAAATTTCTGAATAGAATCAAGATTCTCCTAGCCCACCAGAATGAGAGGTTATCAAGCCGGGTTATGATGGATGGTTGAGGTAAGAGATCTTGAACAGAGACCTGACCCCAACAACTTAACAGTCGCCCAGAGACATAGGCCTTGAGGCTTGTCTGGCTGCTTGATACTCTTTAGAAAAGGGACTTAAAAACATGCTGTGATGACTCCTGGGTCATCACAACCTGAATGCCAAGCTTCTCTGCCTCTCCTGCAAATAGTACTCATTGAATTTCCCAGTTCCTTTTAGAAATAACTAACACAGAATGCAGGAGCCGGGTGCTGTGGTGGCACCGGTAGTCCCACCTAACTGGGAGGCTGAGTCAGGAGGATCTCCTAAAGCCCAGGAGGGTGGAGTTGCAGTGAACTATGATGATTCTGCTTCACTGTACCTGCACGGTAGAACAAGACTGTGTCTCAAACAAAACAAAACAAACAAACAACCTCCCCTTCCCCAACAACACAGAGTGTTTGGACCCAAAGAAGATGTAGTCCAAATCAAATCTGTATTTCAGGTGTAATATTAAAACCAAAACCCTTAGGTTGGCCAAGGACTTCATTCATTTACATAGGAGTTTTCTTGATGTGAACTCAAGCTAGGTTTGACTGAGGATAAAACCATCCTGAAACCTGCATGTGGGGCCAGACCTGGGCTTTTGCAAATGACATAAAGACACTCAGCAAACAATGCTTCTTCCAAGGTCCTTGGTTCCCTGGCAATAATTCTACTTGGATTCACATGTGATATCACATCCTGAATAAGCATGACAAGCAGGATGTGAGTAATGATTCTTCCTGCTAAAGGGCAGGCAAACGTTAAAGAATTGTCTTTAAAGTTGCTTGACTACAATGGGAACAGCAGTGCTGCCTGTGTTATGAGGTATGTGGGACAGGTCCACAAAGCAAACTGAGTGTCCACTTTATGTCGACATTTTATTGTTTCCTGATTGGTGGAAATGATTTTTAAAATAGGAAAAAGAAAAAGGGTAAAGAAAAATAATCCTTGTGAATTTTAGAAAACACTAGGCCAAAAGTCAGCTATACTTTCATATAATGCAAACAAGTGACTCCTAATCCCTTTGCTGAAAAATAAATATAAGAAATGCATTTTGTTTTGAGCCATAGGAAAATATTTTTTTCATTTATCACCCACTTTTGATCTGTGAAATATGACCATTTTCTATTTACACTTATCTCACTAGGTAAAAAGAAAAGAAAAACTATGGCAGAACTAGAGAAATAACATCCTAATATTTGACACAAACACCATTGTCCAGAACTATTAATCACTTTCCAAAAGAAAGACATGGTGGAAAAAAGAAAATGTTTAAAATAATTGGATGTAATCCAAAACATCAAGCCTTTTCCGAAAATGAAAAATATGCCAAAATAAGATATTTGAGTTAATTATGTTTTAGTTGTGTTTTCCTACAATATGGGTACTTTAATTAAAAAGAAGTTATAAAATTAAACTAATTAAAATGATAAATAGGAATTTCATTTTGTTATATTTAGGTATTAAATCAGACAACAAGACTTGAACTTCAGCTTCTAGAACATTCTCTTTCTACAAACAAATTGGAAAAACAGATTTTGGATCAGACCAGTGAAATAAACAAATTGCAAGATAAGAACAGGTAATTAACAGTACAAAAATATTTGTAATTCAGACTTGTACTTTCCAGATATGAAAGCCTATCTCAAATGACACATTCTCAGAATGATGAATTTCTTCATGTCTACTATAAGGACCAGAAACCTAAGAAACAATATTATCACTAAAATCTGCAGATGGTTTTTCACATTTCACAGTGTATTTTAAATAATTTTCAATAATTTCCAAAAAGTTCAACTGATTGTGTCATAAAATTGGTTCAAAAGAAGTCAAAATACTTATTAGGGTCAACATTTTTCTCAAAATTGTCACTACTATGCTTTCATATTTATCCGCTGAAGTTGAAAATTACTATGCATTTTTCATCTTATTATTCTTTTTTACTTGAAAAATTATGTCATTAATTTAGGGGCCATTTGTATAAGTACAATTAAATTGTGAGTATTGCTAAGGCCTCGAAAGCAATGCCACTGATACACCCTTTAGAAGAGGCAATGAAACTTCATAAAATATGTGGGATTCAAATTCTTGACATTTTTGTTGACATAGAGTAATACTGTTCCACACTTCTCAATTAACCATGAGTTATATTAATATAAAAATTAAATTGTACCTATGACCAACTTTTATAATAGTGATCACATTGATTATCCTAAATCAGAAAATCAAATGAGGCTGGGCATGGAGGCCCACTTGAGCTCAGGAGTTAGAGACCAGCCTAAACCAGAGGGAGACCCCTGTCTTTACTAAAAATAGCCGGGTGCTGTGGAGGCGGCACCTGCAGACCAGAGGATCACTTGAGCCCAGGAATTTGATGTTGTTATGAGTTATGATGCCATAGCATTCTACCCAGGGTGACAGAGTGAGACTGTCTCAAATAAAAAAAAAAAAAATAAAGAGAAAGAAAAAAGAAGAAGAAATAAGATGTTAACGAGCAAAATATCAAACTGCTCTCGTCTAGTCAGCGCACGTCCTCACCAGTGTCTAGTCAGCGCGCGTCCTCAGCGTATCTAGTCAGCGCGCGTCCTCACCACCTCTAGTCAGCGCAGGACCTCACCACGTCTAGTCAGCGCGCGTCCTCACCAGTGTCTAGTCAGCGCGCGTCCTCACCACGTCTAGTCAGCGCATGACCTCACCACGTCTAGTCAGCGCGCGTCCTCACCACGTCTAGTCAGCGCGCGTCCTCACCACCTCTAGTCAGCGCAGGACCTCACCACGTCTAGTCAGCGCACGTCCTCACCAGTGTCTAGTCAGCGCGCGTCCTCAGCGTGTCTAGTCAGCGCGCGTCCTCAGCGTGTCTAGTCAGCGCACGTCCTCACCACGTCTAGTCAGCGCGCGTCCTCACCACGTCTAGTCAGCGCGCGTCCTCAGCGTGTCTAGTCAGCGCACGTCCTCACCAGTGTCTAGTCAGCGCGCATCCTCACCACGTCTAGTCAGCGCATGACCTCACCACGTCTAGTCAGTGCACGTCCTCACCATGCTTGGTCCACTTCCCAGGACCGAGTATATTTACACTATATTTTCATTTGTATTCTCATTTCATTTCATTTAAAAAAAGTTGCTAAACTCACTAAATTGATTTTACAAGCCACTCATGGGGCCCAATATGTAATTAAAAAATGCTTTTCCAAGATACCCCGAGACATTATGACGTCAAAACGATCTGCACTGTTACAGTCCTGACATGTGCTGCTCTTAGTCGAGTCTGGGGCGAGCGGGGCTGGCTTCATTTTAAATGCATGCTTATATTCAATCTTAAGGTTAACTCTTTTAGATCAGGATGTGACTGGGCTGTAGGGTTATACCAACCAGTATAGGCTTGGGAGAAAGAAACTGAAGTAGTTGTTTTTTACTGTGCACTCCAGAGACCTGACCTCTGATTCAGGCTCTGGACCAGGGGTCCTCAAACTTTTTAAACAGGGGGCCAGTTCATGGTCCCTCAGACCGTTGGAGGGCCAGACTGTGGGCCCTGGGATGAGTCAGCTGCTAAGCAGGACAGGCAGCAGCGGCAAAAATACCCAGTGGGCTGCATGTGGCCCGCAGGCCATAGTTTAAGAACGCCTGTTCTGGACTGTGTTATTGTTGCATGTTCCTGTTATGCCGCTCTCCTAGATTGCTCAGAACATCAAAAGAGGGTTGTGTGGCAACTTTTAGCAACATCATTTGGAAGATGATATAATGATTTAAAGATGTCCCATATATTCTGTGTTTATTCTCTAGGTCAAGATGGTATCAGAAATCATTTTAGGTAGAAAACAGAAAAAACTGCATATATTTATTTTTAGTTTTCCTTCTATTTATGACAAGTCACCTTGGCTTATAAATTAATGAAAGTGATATGCAATTTTCTTTTAAAATAAATAAGTTAGCTGATATCACAAAAATATTAAGAAATAATAGTTGAAGAATGGATATGGAAAAACTGATGAAAGTCCAATGCAAAGGACTATATTATAGTAATCAATTAATTGCTGATTTGGTTGTATTGACAGTATATTCATTGTTACATACTGATTTACAATGACCAAAGGACTGGAATAAATTTAAGAGATGTAATTACATTTAGACTAATGATTAGAAATACTAATTGTTATTGTTTATGGGCAAGATCTGTAATGAGTAGTCAGTTCCTGGGCTGGTTGATGCTGTTTGTAGGATTAAAGATTCAGGAAATTTTACTGGCAAAAAAAGGGCAAAATAGATTTGTAGATTATTTGAACAAGAAGGGGCCTCAAATTTCACCGAGCTGAATGCCTTCATTTTAGATACTTAGATAGATGGATGGATATTCACTTAGACAGGTATACGCCTGCCCACGGTGACACCTGCAGTCACACACACAGGTGGTATTCTCAGCCCAAGGATTCTTTTTTGCTCACAGGTGCTTGTGACACCAAGGGTGACTTCATAGGGCCCCCACTTCCTCTTCAGTATAACCCTGGTTTTCATATAAGTTCCACGTGGTAACTTTAATTATGGGCATCACATTTCCATGAGAGTGTTTCCTTGCCAGTGGACGTTAGCAGCTTTGCCTATGTTGTCTGCTGCTGTAAACATCATCAGAGCATCTGCATTTCTAGTATCTTCAGACAAGAGTTCATGATGTGTTCATCCTGATAGTTCTCCAGAACCCTAAAAGTCACCTTGTACATGGAGGGTGTTCAGTCCATCTCTGTTGGAGGAACTGTGTGATAAGTAAGCCTTGGGTAAGATGGGATCCAAGCCTGAGCAGCAGTGGAGCAGCTCTGCCTCACGGTGAAACATGTATGCTGATTTCACCTGCTTTGGTTCCCTATGAAAGGAAGGACAAGGAGATCTGGGAGGCTTTAAATAATTCACAACAGGATTAAATGTCTGCTTCAAGTTGTCTTCATCAAAAAAGTGGAGAAAATCATTGTTCTCTGCTCTCCAAGTATCCCCCAAATTCTCACAGCTTATGAGGAATATTTCATTAGCTCCTAACATGACATTAACAGAGGCTGGGTTGCTTTTTAGTGGCTGCAAAATACTTCTGAAACATCACTAACAGGCTTCATTTTTAAAGGAGAAAACTGACTTATAGATGACTTTTATTTTCTATTTTTTTGAGACAGTCTTACTTTTTCCTCTCAATTGAGTGTCATGGTGTCATAGCTCACGGCAACCTCAAACACTTAGGCTCAAATGATCCTCTTGTCTCAGCCTCCCGAGTCGCTGGGACTACAGGTACCTGCCACAACTCCTGGCTACTTTCAGAGATAGAGTCTTGCTCTTGCTCAGGCTGGTCTTGAACTCCTGAGTTCAGGCATTCCACCTGCCTTAGCCTCCCAGAGTGACAGGATTAAAGGCATGAGCCACCACGTCCCACACTTATAGATGGCTTTTAAAAAGCAATGGGCAAGTTCATTTCTACTAAACTTTATGCTAGGGCAGAATGTTGAGATACAATTGGCATCAGGTTCGCTGTTTCTGAAAGTGTCTACATCTTGAAAGCTTCACTTTGTGGCCTGTTCCAACAGGGAGAAGATCTGGAAGGGTCTTTGTTGCCGCTTTGTCTGTTATCACAGAAAGCCTTGTGTGTGCTGAATAATACAGTGACTGAACAGAGAGAGCAAGAATCACCATCAAGAGACACACTATACAAATTTTCTCTTGCACATTTTTTACAGCCTCTTGTATCTTATTAAAGAATAAAAATAAAAAAACTAGCTGGGCACAGTGGCTCATGCCTATAATCCTAGCATTTTAGAAGGCTGAGGCAGGAGGATCACTCGGGGCCTGGAGTTTAAGACCAGCCTGGGGGCAACATAGCAAGGCTTTGTCTCTTAAAAACAAAACAACAACAACAACAACAACACCACCACCACCACCTAAGGAATGAGCTGGCTGTGGTGACAGACATCTGTAGTCCTGTTTACTAGAGAGGCTGAGGCAGGAGGATTGCTTGAGGCTGAGTTTAAGGCTATAGTTAGCTATGACTGGACCAATGCATTCCAGCCTGGGTGATGGAGGGAGACTCTGTCTCAAAACAAAACAAAACAACTGCCGAGGACCTTCGCTAGGCAAGTCTTTGAATCTGTTCCAGGGACCAGTCAATACTCTCAAACATTTGGTATTTACATAGATTCTATGTACTTGGAATTGTTTTCTCTAGTTTAATGGACAGGAATTTTCCAGTGTAATGGACAGTAAATTTCCAGTTTAAAACTAATGGTGCTCCTAATCAAATATATGCATAGTAAAATATCTTTTTAAATTGAAATTACAAAGACAAACTGTACAACAACTATACAACTATTAATAAAATCATTTGGGACTTATATGGCATAACTTATCAGCTCTCTAAATAAAAAAATTTTTAAGGGGCTAGCTCACATTTGAATATTAAGTATAAGTATATTAAGTGTTAGTGCTGGTTGAATTTCTTAGAGCTGAGAGATCTGTATTTGAATTCTGCCCCCATCACTCATTATGTGTGACCTAAGCCATGTGGTCTATTGACTCTAAGTTTCAATTAACTCATTAGAAATGGAGATAATAATGTTGGTATTGACACTAACTACCAACTGGGCATGATAACTCATGCCTGAAATCCCAGCACTTTGGGATGATGAGGCGGGTGGAGCACCTGAGGCCAGAAGTTTAATACGAGCCTGGGTAATATAGAGAGACCTTTGTCTCTAGAAAAATAAAAACTGCCATTATTTAAGGTTCTGTGTGTCAGGAACTAAGCATTTACATTTTAAAACTCATTGATTTCTCAGACCAACTCAGTTTACAGATGAGGAAATTGATGCACAGAGAGATTAACAAAATTGTTCAAAGTCACAGAGCTTGAACCTGGGTAAAATACCTCCCTGATGGAAGAGTATTTTCCACCTAGTATTAAATGCTATTATTATTAGGATTAATATTAAAATACAAATGGTTTAAGAGAAAGCTAACATCCCACCCAAAGGTCCAGCCCAACTCACTCTTCCTTCACACAAAAAAGCACTTAATGAACTTGAAATATTGTCACCCTTCTACTTCTTCTACAACTGCTATATAAGCAGATGCTTCCAACACTCACATTTTATCTATTATGGCTCAGGAGGGTATCTGTGTCTGCACGTCTACATGTGCACAGACACAGACTTATATTTATGTGTACAAAGACACATGTCTATATATCTAATCGCAGAAGTTTAAGAGATTCTTTGGGGCTATGACAACATCTTATTACTTTATAACTTCTATAAAATCTTAACGGAATATCTTAGAGAAGTAGAAATTCAAATACAAAATATTTTATTAGAATTATGAAAATTGGATGTTGAAAAAACACTGGGCTTTGAAGGTAATCAGATAATTAGAATATGTTTAAGTAACTAACATTTATTTTCCTTGTAAGTGTCCTAGAAAAGAAAGTGCTGGACATGGAAGACAAGCATGTGGTCCAACTGCAGTCCATAAAGGAAGAGAAAGACCAGCTCCAGGTGTTGGTGTCCAAGCAAAATTCCATCATTGAAGAACTGGAGAAACAATTAGTCACGGCCACAGTGAACAATTCAGTTCTTCAAAAGCAACAACATGATCTGATGGAGACAGTTCATAATTTACTGACTATGATATCAACGTCAAACTGTAAGTTTACATGTCATTTTTTTCTTCAGTTTTAATAACCTTTAGTCAGTGACATTCCCCAGATTGTAAAAAGTTCTCATCTTTCAAAAAGGTACCATTTTTCAGATATTTCATACGAAAGCTCATTCTACAGGATCTCAATATAGAACCAGTTAAAATGGAGAAGGAAGAGAAGGGAGAGAGGAAATATACATCATACTAATGATTATGAAGCAAAACACGCCAAATATACTTTGATTTATGGTAGCAAAAAGCCTCTTTTGAGTTAGTTCCGTCATGAACTAGATGGCTGGGGCTGGGCCTGCCACTAAACTACGGTGGGTCTTGGTCTCTTTAGCTTTTTAATAGAGAAAACAATCCTGCACCCATGGACTGTAGTGAAGAGCAGATCACATAGTACTTTCAGTGCTGGCATAAACTGCATGTATGAGATGTTAGCTCCCTTCTCCCGCCAAGTCCTTAAATGTGTTCTGTCTCCAGGACTGTTAACCTTTCAGTTTCTCTGAGATATCAGAGGGAAGAAGGGATGCATCTTTGGTCATTAAAGATGAGATATATAATACCTGTGGCATTTTAAAGTGTATTTCCTTGAAAAATTGGTCTAGGTGTTAGTATGGTTTATTTCATAATGTCCTTTCAACCTGCACCCCCTTGACACAGATAGCTTTGCACATGAATTGTGGAGATGTGTTCCCACTTTCATAAGAAGTATCTCCCCACATTTTCCTTGAGTCATGCCAATACCTCAGCTTTGCAGAAACAGTTCGACAAAGTTCCTTCTAACCAAGTAGACACAGAACAGAAACAGCAGCACATCTGCTGAGCAGAGGCAGGTGGTCTGTGCTACTGGGCTGTAGTGTGTGCTTTCCAACCAGAGCTTTACTCTGTCACAATTTAGAACAATCCTACTTTTGTCAACATTTATAGAAAATGGAAGAGCCAATCATGTGATGCTGTCTGGTCAAACCAAGATAGTGTAAAGGACCAGCTTTGATGAGCCAGTGTAGAGAGAACTCATGGGCCCAGATTCTGACACACCAAACGCGATCACCTGCCAGGGAACAGCTTCCTCTCCTGGCCTGTCGCTTGCCGGTGCTGCCGACCCACCATCCCGCCGCAGGGCCTTACTTCAAGAGCAGAATACATATAGTTTCAAGAATACAAACACACACACACCGGCCCCACACACGCTTTTCTTTTCCTAAAATGTGCCAAAAAAGGAATGGCAAGTACAAACAGTGAAAGCAGGATAAAAATGTGAAGGAATTTCACAGCCCTTGAGTTTTTAGACTTAAAGAATTCCAAAGATATAGATAAGAGTCTGCTCCTCTTTAATTCCAATTGTTATGGTATAGTTGCTAAAAATCCATAGAAAACTAAATGTCTCCATCCAATACTCAAAAGAAAATTAAGACTTGGCATCAGTTATATGAAAAGAAAGCAAAAAAAAAAAAAAAAAAGAGAGAGAGAAAGAAAAAAGGAGAAGGGGGTGCACCCCTCAGAGCAGAGGGGACACTGACGGGGGCACATTCTTCCTTATTCTTCTGTAATACGTTTACCCTATTTTACTCAAGATGAAAGGTTTTTAAGAAGAAATAATGTATTATACCTGATTGTGAAGTACTTGCATTATATATAATTGATGATAAATGGGGAAGTTTGAATTAATCGTAACAATCTTTGAGAATTAATAGAAATACAGGCTAAAAAAATAACTGTTCTGGAAAAGCTAAAAACCAGGCATATCTTTTTGCTTATTATAAAAATTCAAACGTAAGAAAACTCATCAAATGAATGGGCTTTGAAATAACAAATTTTTATCCTTTCATGAACTCCATTCAAATATTTACTATTTTTCAAAAGCAGCTAAGAATGCTTTTACTGCCAAAGAAGAACAGATCACATACAGAGACTGTGCTGAAGTATTTAAGTCGGGACTTATCACTAATGGCATCTACACGCTAACATTTCCTAATTCTACAGAAGAGACAAAGGTAAGATTTGTCTCCCATTGTCACGGGGTCAGTTTAGACAGTGATGAACAACTGAGAACTCCCACACCATGGATCCTCTTGGCCTCACTCCGTGCAAAGCCATCTCCACTAAGCAGCCACCTCATACAGTGTGGGCCACAGGCTCTAAATTCAAAAGCTGTGCATAGAGTATTGACATTGTGTATTAGTTATGGAGAAATATCCTCCGTAAAAATATATTCTCCTGGATTTTGCTGGAATAATACATACTATCAGTTGCTTTCCATGCCTAGCCAGACTCATTTCATTGATTTTAAAGAAAATATCTTCCAGGCTCGGCACCTGTGGCTCAAGAGGCTAAGGCGCCAGCCACATACACCTAAGGTGGCGGGTTCGAATCCAGCCTGGGCCCACCAAACAACAATGATGGCTGCAACAAAAAGAAATAGCCAGGCATTGTGGCGGGCGCCCGTGGTCCCAGCTACTTGGGAGGCTGAGGCTGGAGACTCGCTTGAGCCCAGGAGTTGGAGGTTGCTGTGAGCTGAGATGCCACGGCACTCTACCCAGGAGGACAGCTTGAGGCTCTCTCTCAAAAAAAAAAAAAAAAAAGAAAATATCTTCTAAAAACAAGTTTGAATAAACACAGTGTTTTATGATCACTCTTTCAAGCAACAATTGTATTCAGTGAACAATAAAAATTATTCATTCATCTAAAACAATCACAAAAAAGTGATTCCTTCCAGACAACATGGTACTTTGATATGCAGAAGTGATTTATATGTATTTCCCATTTTGTCATTAAAATAGGAATGATAAAAAGGCGTGCACTCTGCAGTAGAGGTTTAATAACATTAGAAATTTTCACTGCTTGTCAGAGACATCTTTAAATAACACTGGCTTTTTAAAGAAATTGTGGGCTTGGCGCCTGTGGCTCAAGTGGCTAAGGTGTCAGTCACATACACCTAAGGTGGCAGGTTCGAATCCAGCCCAGGCCGCCAAACAACAATGAAGGCTGCAACCAAAATATAGCCAGGTGTTGTGGAGGGTGCCTGTGGTCCCGGCTACTTGGGAGGCGGAGGCAGGAGTCTTGCTTGAGCCCAGGAGTTGGAGGTTGCTATGAGCTGTGATGCCACAGCACTCTATCCAGGGGGATAGCTTGAGCCTCTGTCTCAAAAAAAAAAAAAAAAAAAGAAAGAAATTGTGTGTGTAACTGAAGAATATAGTGACTCAAACACTTTGGTACTGCTACTTTGCTTCATGCCAGGATGCAGCAGTTCTACCCACAAGAACAATATTGTCTTCATGTTCTGAAAACAGTTCCAGCCTTGTGGACTTGCTGATACGGTCTCAGGGACACCTAGGACTCTATAGTCCACACAATAAGAATTTGTGGGGCAGGCTAACCACATCTGATACAGTCTAAAAGACTTAAAACACACCATCAGAAAGAACAGTCATTTTCTTTTTAAGTAAGGGGGATTACGTCAATGTGCATGCTCAGTTCCATGCAGCTTCATTCAGTGGCTTAGTTAGGCTGGGTTCTCAGTGAACACATTTCGAGAAGTCACCATGGGAGACACGGAACTTTAGATGAGGAAAAAAATCACTTCCCCAGGGAATATTTCTATGTGGTTTCTCTTAGAGATTGATCGGGTAGAATGATATTCCATGAGAATGATATGTTTTATGTGTATAAATACTAGATGACTTTCTATATTAAATGCCTATGAATATGTCAGTGCATAATGTAAAAGCAGCGAACACTGACACAACATAAGCTTCAGAAATACACTGGATACTGTATCAAAACAGGGATTTCAGAGGCTCCTGGAAGTAACATCTCTTTGAACTCAGCGTTACCCTAAGTATTTAACATGGTATCAAAGAAAAATACTTTGTTTTGCTTTCCCTCTTCTATTCTGAAGGAACAAAGAAAAACACTTTTAAAATACAAAGATTAGGGTTTTAAAGACCTGGAATTTGAAACAGTAATATACACCTTGATTATAAATTTAAAAGATAAATACTGTGTTCTTCAAGATAATACTTTCCAAAGAAATCTTTCTAATTCACTCCTGCTGTGTTGAATCAACCTTGGAAATCAGTTAATGTCGCAGGCGCCCTGGAAGCAGAGCACGGGGGCGGAAAAAACCACAAAACTAAGTAGAGTGCTGAAGATGAAACAGCAATGAACAGAGTAGGCCAAGCCCTTTAAGCCCCTTTGCTTCAGTTTTTACGACAATTCTTTGCATGCCATTGTCTGTCACCAGATGTTGGCCTGGGCTTGTGATAAACCAGTGATAATGGAGTGTGGTGATGTGTGAAGCGGACACCATGGAGGACACAGGCCCGGAGGGGCAGTTGCTCACCGTGTGGCCATCACACTGCTAAGTGAATGTCTTCTCACCTTATTGTGGGGTTCTCACCACAGTGCACTGTGCCACCCCAAAGACTGCCTGAAATGCTCTGCAGAAAGATGCAAATATGTAACACTCAGGGATGATGTGAGTCTGTCACGGCTGGACACATTACGATTTATACTCCCTCTAAACACTGCAGTAAAAATAACTCATTTACACAGCAGGGAAAAATCATCTTTCAAAAACTGCAATTTTCTCATATCTAAAATAAATGGTCTAAATTCTTACCTCTAAATTCCCTTCCAGACTTAAGATTCCATAATTCACAATCTGATCAAGGGACAGTCAGACAGACAGACATGGGTTTATTTAAATTCTGGCCCTGCCAGCTTGTGGCTCTGAGCATCATGTAACTTTTCTGAGCTCTTAGTTTCCTGATCTGTAACTTGGCACACCTACCCTCAGCCCTGGAGGTCGTGCCAGCAGAGGTATGGCACCAGGACAGGACTTGGGATGATGAATGGGAGGCGTCATCCTTATAACCCCAGAGGCTACTATACAACCTCTCTGCATAGCTGGATTCCATTTTTGTCCTGGCTTATCTAATTCAAGAAAAGAATTTCAATAGATCTTTGGGCCAATCTTTTCCCAAAAGACCTAAATACTACAATTTTTTTTTTTTTTGGCTGGGGCTGGGTTTGAACCCGCCACCTCCAGCATATGGGGCTGGCGCCTTACTCCTTTGAGCCACAGGTGCCACCCTCTAAATACTACAATTTTATTTTTGAAAAATTCATTAGGTTTTTGTACAAGAGAGATATTGAAACATGGTATCTATCAAACACACAAATGTATGCTTTTGTTAGAGAAATAATAGTTTTTCTTCCCTAATTTTCATAGGATATCTTTCTCCTAATGTTTACTCTGTGTTTGCTATTTAATCAGTCATTTAACCATGCCCTCAGAGTTGAAGCACAGCATTTAATTCAAGCATTATTTGCTGAAAAACATCAAGCTTTAAAAGATATCAGGTTTCTGAACCATGCAATAGTGTGCTAATTAAATGTCTTAACTGCCCTCAGGTTTTTGTAATTGGAGTACTAAAGTTCAGGGCAGTATCTGAGGACTTCAGCTTTTCTGATTTTGATCTAATTATTGCAGCATTTTCACTTAGCATCTTCTGGCAGGTGGATCACTCTACTTGACCACCATCTCTGCAAGTTTCATGGCACAATTAACCATAATACCCCAGGAGTTTTTATAAATGTTCCTTTAAAAAATATGGATGAGGCTCGGCGCCTATAGCTCAACTGGCTAAGGCGCCAGCCACCTACACCTAAGGTGGCGGGTTCGAATCCCCAGCCCGGACCCG